TCAGTGATTTTAGTCCCATCTGAATGTACAATGTCTAAAGATTACGGCGACATTCTCTACAAAGATCATGGTATCCCACTCTTGGCCACTCGTCCTTTCCTTTGACTGAGTTGAGTATGGAGTACCACAAGGCTCAGTACTAGGACCGTTGCTTTTCACGATACCCTTGGGAGATATCATCAGGAAACATGGTGTTAGCTTTAACTGTTATGCTGATGACACTCAGCTCTATATTTCTTTGCAGCCCGACGAAGCATACCAATTTGCAAAACTAACGGAATGCATAGTTGATATAAAAAACTGGATGACTAGTAATTTCTTACTGCTAAATTCTGAAGAAACAGAGGTGGTAATTATTGGATCAAAAACCTCTGCATGTAATAACCTAAAACACTGCCTTCAACACTTGATGGCTGCTGTGTTAATTCCTCGTCATCAGTTAGGAACCTAGGTGTGCTATTTGATAGCAATCTTTCCTTTGAAAACCATGTTTCTAGCATTTGTAAAACTGAATTTTTCCATCTTAAAAAATATATCTAAATTACGACCTATGCTCTCAATGTAAAATGCAGAAACGTTAATTCATGCATCATGACCTCAAGGTTAGATTATTGTAATGCTTTATTGGCTGGTTCAAAATGCAGCAGCTAGAGTTCTTACTAGAGCCAGGAAGTATGACCATATTAGCCCGGTTCTGTCAACACTGCACTGGCTCCCTGTTAAACATTGTATAGATTTTAAAATCTTGCCAATTACTTATAAAGCCCTGAATGGTTTAACTGCTCAAAACTTGAGTAAGCTCATATCACATTATAGTCCTTCACGTCCGCTGCAATCTCAAAACTAAATTACGGCCTATGCTCTCCGCTGCGATCTCAAAACTCTGGCCATTTGATAATACCCAGAATGTCAAAATCAACTGCGGGCGGCAGATCCTTTTCCTATTTAGCACCCAAACTCTGGAACAATAAACTCTGTCAGTTTAAATCTAGACTAATATTAGTCTGTTTCTCTCTTATTCCGAGGTCTTAAAAAATAAAATAAATTTTTATTAATTATATTAAATTAAGAATAATCCAGTCTGGAAAGTTTTAAGTGTTGGTGGCAAACATATGTTGCGCACTGTGCGGATCTGCTGAAATTAAAATCTGCAAAAGTAACGAGCAGTAAGCACGATGTCTGAACAGTAGTTAATTCCTACAATTTAAAACAATATCAATATCTTTGATTCTTATTTTTGATCCTGATCTTCACATCTGAGAGTTTCTACAGGTGCAACTGGATAGTGAAGGTATTTTGTTTCCCGCAAAACAACATTTACTTCACTAATATCATAACATGTGTGATATATTTCTGTATCCCTGTGATGATCTCTCTCTAGAGTTACAGTGTTTCTAGTAAACTGGTTATTGCATCTTGTGTTTAGAAACTGAACACTATTCACTCTTAATAAGGGTAGATAAAGACTAACAGCTGAGTATTATTTATCATATTTTGTCAATCAAATTTTGTCAAATCAATTAACTATTTTCATTTAAACTGCACAAAAAGTGAATTAAAATCAGAACTGCTGATATAAAAGTACATTACCGCTGAAATCAATAAGATCAAAGACAGACAATACATTCCTTATAGAAGACAGATTTGTTTCTTTTCTCCATGGATCTGTAATTCTGTATGGGGAGTAAAATTATGATTGTAAATTGATTCAATAAATGGAAACCTGTTTGTGAATCTGAGAGCTTAAAAGATGTTTAGTCACATTTCTGTTTTGTGTGAGCAGGACTTTTATTTTGGTGTGGTGACATGATGTCATAAGTCTGCGCCGTGCTCCTGCATCTGATTCTGCTGAAGAAAGGTTTGTGTTTGAATCTTTTAAAGAGTTTAAATCAGTACAACCCATTCAGATAGGTTTATATAGACCGTTGGAATGAATCAATAATCTTTAATGTAATGTTATGATCTATCTAATAACAGTAATGAAGATAGTGTTTTATAGTAAAGCACCTCCACACATGAGCAACAAAAGAGATGCATCTCAGTTCACTCCCTGTATAGTGAAGCAGTTCATCATTAACACTGCTTGCTCACTGGCGGGTACGTCACGACAGAGTTACAGAACTTCTTAAAAACAGCTCAGACTTAAATCAAATGCTTTATCTGTAGTACATCAATGTCCAAACACTGTCCGCAGCTGAAGTTGGCTGATAGCAAATGAATAATCCAACCTCTTGTAATGAAAACACGCCACAGCTCTCAAACACCAGACTCTTCCTAACCAGGAACAGTCAAGAATAGTTCAGACTACGGTCTCACGTCCAAGAGAACTTTAAATCCGTATTCAATCTGGACCGTTATGTAGTAGCCTCACCTAAAATGCATAAAAATACACCGTCTTAAACTCTTAGCATTACTCCAAACATAGGCCATACACACATGTAACATCTCTGCAAAAAAAACATCAGCAATGTACACTTTTAAATAGGAAAAAAACCTTGTTTAGACTGGGCTTGAAATGACACACTTCCCAACCAGGACACAGCACAATGTGTTCAGCGGGTGAGCCATGCTGGCTACCGCTGCTCGCTGTTGCTAACTCCCTTCTTCTTCTTCTTATA